AGCCATGCCCCTACTAAGCCACGCCTACAGTTTTCTGATCTGACCCACTGGGTCATACTGTATTTTAATAACCCAACATCAATAACCATACCTGGCTCTTTTTAAAGAAAACCCAACTAAGTGACCCAATGCCTGCAACCAAGCAGTATAACAGTGTAATTAATACATTTCATATATGCTATTACAAAAATAATCATTTGGTTGTGTTTATGAAGGCCTTGGGTAACATTACACTACTCTGCAACTGGATCCTGGACTTCCTGACGGGCTGCCCCCAGGTGGTAAGGGAAGACAACAACACATCTGCCACGCTGATCCTCAACATTGGGGCCCCTCAGGGGTGCGTGCTTAGTCCCCAACTGTACTCCCTGTTCACCCACGACTGCGTGGCCAAGCACGACTCCAACACCATCATTAAGTTTGCTTACGATACAACAGTGGTAGGCCTGATCACTGACAACGATGAGACAGCCTATAGGGAGGAGGTCAGAGACCTGGCAGTGTGGTGCCAGGACAACAACCTCTCCCTCAATGTGAGCAAGACCAAGGAGCTGATGGTGGACTATAGGAAAAGGAGGGCCGAACAGGCCCCCATTAACATCAATGGGGCTGTAGTGGAGCGGGTCGAGAGTTTCAAGTTCCTTGGTGTCCACATCACCAACAAACTATCATGGTCCAAACACACCAAGACAGTCATGAAGAGGGCATGACAACACCTTTTCCCCCTCAGGAGACTGAAAAGATTTGGCATGGGTCCCCAGATCCTCAAAAAGTTCTACAGCTGCACCATCGAGAGCAATCTGACCGGTTGCATCACCGCATGGTATGGCAACTGCTCGGCATCCGAACATAAGGTGCTACAGAGGGTAGTGCGTACTGCCCAATACATCACTGGAGCCAAGCTTCCTGCCATCCAGGAACAATATACTAGGCGGTGTCAGAGGAAGGCCCAAAAAATTGTCAAAGACTCCAGTCACCCAAGTCATAGACAGTTCTCTCTGCTACTGCACGGCAAGCGGTATAAGACTGCTGAACAATTAATCAAATGGCCACCCGGACTATTTGCCCCCCCTTTGTTTTTACACTGCTACTACTCGCTGTTTATTATCTATGCATAGTCACTTTACCCCTACCTACATGTACAAATTACCTCGACTAACCTGTATCCCCGCTCATTGACTCGGTACCGGTACCCCTTGTATATAGCCTCGTTATTGTATTGTGATTTTATTCTGTTACTTTTTATTTCATTTTTTACTTTAGTAAATATTTTCTTAATTCTATTTATTGAACTGCATTGTTGGTTAAGGGCTACACCTGTTGAATTCGACGCTTGTGACAAATACAATTTGATTTGATTTGAAAAATACTTTTATACTGAACAAAAATATAAACGCGTTATGCAACAATTTCATTGATTTTACTGAATTACAGTTCATATGAGGAAATCAATTGATTGAAATAAATGAATTAGGCCCTAATCTATGGATTTCACATGACTGGGAATACAGATGCATCTGTTGGTCACATATACCTTAAAAAAAGGGGCCTCACAACGGGCCTCAGGATCTTGTCACAGTATTTTTGTACATTCAAATTGCCAGTGATAAAATGCTATTTTGTTGTTTTCCGTAGTTTATGCCTGCCCATATCATAACCCCACCACCACCATGGGACATTGTTCACAACGTTGACATCAGCAAACCGCTTGCCCACACAATGCCATGCACTCGCTTTTTGTGCATATGGAACATATTTGGGATCTTTTATTTCACTCATGAAACATGGGACCAACACTTTACATTTTGCTTTTATGTTTTTGTTCAGTGTATTTTATTTCAAATAACACAATAGCATTTTCATGAGGTAATGTTACTGTAGGCTATACAGTGCCTTCAGAAAGTATTCAGACCCCTTGACTTTCCACATTTTGTTACGTTACAGCATTGTTCTAAAAATGGGTAAAAAAATAAATAAAAATCCTCAGCAATCTACACACAATACCCCGTAATGACAATGCAAATAATTTTTTTTTTTATGTATAAAAACTAAAAAACCTTATTTACATAAGTATTCAGACCCTTTGCTATGAGACTCGAAATTGAGCTCAGGTGCATCGTGTTTCCATTGATCATCAATGAGATGTTTCTACAACGTGATTGGAGTCCACCAGTGGTAAATTCAATTGATTGGACATGATTTGGAAAGGCACACACCTGTCTATATAAGGTCCCACAGCTGACAATGTATGTCAGAGCAAAAACCTGGAATTGTCCAAAGGAATTGTCCAAAGGAATTGTCCGTAGAGCTCCGAGACAGGATTGGGTCAAGGCACAGATCTGAGGGGAGGGTACCAAAAAATGTATGCAGCATTGAAGATCCCCAAGAACACAGTGGCCTCCATCATTCTTAAACGGAAGAAGTTTGGAACCACCAAGACTCTTCCTAGAGCTGGCCGCACGGCCAAGATGAGCAATCAGGGGAGAAGGACCTTGGTCAGGAGGTGACTAAGAACCCGATGGTCACTCTGACAGAGCTCTAGAGTTCCTCTGTGGAGATGGGAGAACCTTCCAGAAGGACAACCATCTCTGCAGCACTCCACCAATCAGGCTTTATGGTAGAGTTGCCAGAGGAAACCTGGCACCATCCCTACGGTGAAGCATGGTGGTGGCAGAATCATGCTGTGGGGATGTTTTTCAGCTGCAGGGACTGGGAGACTAGTCAGGATCGAGGGAAAGTACAAAGTGATCCTTGATGAAAACCTGCTCCAGAGCGCTCAGGACCTCACACTGAGGCGAAGGTTCACCTTCCAACAGGACAATGACCCTAAGCACACAGCCAAGACAACACAGGAGTGGCTTCGGAACAAATCTCTGAATGTCCTTGAGTTGCCCAGTCAGAGCCCGGACTTGAACCCCATCGAACATCTCTGGAGAGACCTGAAAATAGCTGTGCAGCGACGCTCCCCATCCAACCTGACAGAGCTTGAGAGGATCTGCAGAGAAGAATGGGAGAAACTCCCCAAATACAGGTGAGCCAAGCTTGTAGCGTCATACCCAAGAAGACTCCAGGCTGTAATTGCTGCCAAAGGTACTTCGACAAAGTACTGAGTAAATGTGATATTTCCGTTTTAATTTTTTATAAATTAGCAAAAATGTCTAAAACCTGTTTTTGCTTTGTCATTATGGGGTATTTTGTGTAGATTGATGAGGCAAACATTTTTTAAATCCATTTTAGAATAAGGCAAATTGTGGAAAAAGTCAAGGGGTCTGAATACTTTCCGTATGCATTGTAGATACACTTTCTTTTGTTAAACTTTATGAGGTGTTATTGCATAACACTAAAAGTGTAAATTCCCTAACACTGACAAAGTGTAACAGCATCAGCACTAAGCACAATGTTAATTGAACACTTAAAAGTGTGGACCCATATATACACTGGCCCGGTGTTAAATTAAACACTGTTAGTGTTGATTCAATACTGGAGATTTTGCTGTGAAGTATAACACCTATACCTTTTGAATAAACATCACCCTCAACAGTTTAGAAATAAAATGTTTTTATTTTCAGCATACAACAGCAACCATAATGAGAGGACCTATGACATGAAAAGCAAGCTTTTATCTCCCAACTTGGGTAATTAAATTAATGATCACCCCTTTGGCATTATGTGAGTTTAGCTTTTCCTCTCAGATGGCCAATGGGAAGGTTTCATCATCATCCTTTTCTCAGAGGACAACATGTGACCATAAAGGATCACATATTGGGACTGAGGAGAGAGAGAGAGAGAGAGAGAGAGAGAGAGAGAGAGAGAGAGAGAGAGAGAGAGAGAGAGAGAGAGAGAGAGAGAGAGAGAGAGAGAGAGAGAGAGAGAGAGAGAGAGAGAGAGAGAGAGAGAGAGAGAGAGAGAGAGAGAGAGAGAGAGAGAGAGAGAGAGAGTTGAAGCAACAGGCAACAGATGGGTGTATTTGACTAGTTTTGGAATGTGTAATCAGAGTATATTGTGACTCAGAAATTTTGAAATATGAACATGTCAAACAGGGGAGGTTCATTAGCAGATTGTGACTGAAGTAACCTTAGTAACAGCCATTTCTATACCAACTTATCTCTGGATTAACTTGTATGCGTAAATGGCTAATTCACTCAATTCTTGAATAATTGGAACGAGCTGTCTGTGTAAACCTTGAAACTGGTCTTGATAGAGTAACTGATTTGATTTGTGAAGTGAACAAATGAAAACGATACTCTGAGCATACATTATGATCAAGACAGCATACATCATGATTAACAGGTTCAAAATAAAGGCAGTTTGTCAAGATTGTAACTTTTCTCAGCATGGTTTTGCAATGCCAATGCAGGGTCCACAGGGGTGCACAAGCCAAACTAAATCTCAGTTGTCCATGCTGAACAGTAACACTGCTGTTGTGAACAGCCTAGTTAGTAGTCTCGGAAATCCCAGACCTAGGGCAACGGCACTAGGTCTGGGGAAAATGGGGGGTTTTCTTGGCAACTTCGAAAGAGGTCTGTGTGCTCTTCACACAGACAATTGTTCCAAGAAATTACAAGTTTGGGTAGGCAGGGCTTAAAATGCGGGCAGAAATTGTGCTCTATGAAAAATAACAAAGGTGGACCCAATGACAGATGCGGACGCAAATAGCTAGGCTATTTATAGTCACAGCCAGTCAGTGGTGGAATGTTAGCTGCATGCAAACTATTCACTTGCGAAATAGACTAATTGAAAATATCCATCTAGCTAGCTTCCAATTTTGTGTCTGGTGGGGATGTTTATCCCATGGCACAAACCGATAAGGCTCTGGACGGACTTCCTGTGCGTCCATTTCTGACCTGTTTCCTACTATACCAGCCGGATGTTTGTATCTGTGCAGACGTGTATGATGGAACATTGTTATTGTGGGAGGCAACCAGTCTACCTAGGGAGACTACCTAGTGAGAGCTAATGGTGTGTCCCCCTGCAGGCCCTTCCTTGTACTGCCGCCACTGATGGAGTGGATTCGGGTGGCAGTGGCCCACGCAGAACACCGGCGCAGCTTCTCTGTGGACAGCGACGACGTGAGACAGGCTGCCAGGTTGCTCCTGCCAGGGGTGGACTGTGAGCCACGGCAGCTAAAGTAAGACATGACATGGATGAACATACACAAATACACAGCACACACACATAAACATCGCTCTCAAATACAGACACACACAATTACTGAACACAGGATCGTACACTTATTCAGACATACACTGAATGTTTCTCAATGTGTAGCACATGCACATTTTAACCCACACTGACACATAATGAAGACATATCAATACTTTTAAAGGGTAAGTTTAGAGGAGCAATCCGGGATTAGAAAAACAACAGTGTTCACCACGCCACTTGTTTTGGGAAACAGCTGAGGGATGGAAATGGAGAAATGTAACCACTTTCAAATTCATAGACAGACCTATGGATGCAAGGACTCACCATCCATGAGATCAACATGATAGTTACCCAAGCTTATAGTTTGGTTTCTTATGGTGTCAGATAGTTGAGCTAAGCTCATGAGTCATTTATATGTTATATTCTTCAAGAATCAACGGCTATATATACACAGACACCTAAAATTATTGTCACCCAAAAAAGACTATCAAATAAATACAAATACCGAGCTATATTGTATGCAAAACAAATGGGAGAATTGTATAATTGTATATTAATACAATTGCTCAGAGAAAGAGATTTTGTTCAACATGTACATTTAAAAAAAACTAAAATAATGATTGGCACCCCTAAGAATCTGCATTAACATTCTACTTTTTAAATTAATATCAGTTTGACCAAATACGATGCTACAGTATTTCTCTGTAATCAAATTAACAACAGACTTTCAGCATGCTTATAGAGAAGGGCACTCAACATGTACTGCACTGACCAAATGACTGATGATTGGTTGAAAGAAATTGATCATAAGAAGATTGTGGCAGCTGTACTGTTAGATTTCAGTGTAGCCTTTGATATTATTGACCATAACCAGTTGTTGAGAAAACGTACACTACCGGTCAAAAGTTTTAGATCACCTACTCATTCAAGGGTTTTTCTTTTTACTCTTTTCTACATTATAGAATAATAGTGAAGACATCAAAACTATGAAATAACACATATGGAATCATGTAGTAACCAAAAAAGTGTTAAACAAATCAAAATATATTATATATTTTATATTCTTCAAAGTATTCACCCTTTGCCTTGATTTTGCACACTATTGGCATTCTCTCAACCAGCTTCATGAGTAATGTTTTTCTTTTTTTTTTAAATATATATAATATTTATATTCACAATGAATGAAAGATAATATTTAAAGACATTATACATTTTTCCCAATTGACCCCCCAATACAAGCAAAAATGTAATAGCCTAACAATTTCTGGTGATTAGGTGATCTTATAGTCCTAGAGTAGTAATCTCAAGGGGTGGGGGTGGGGCCAAGAGGACTAATCTGGAGGAAGTGTTTGGAACTGTTCAAAATAGGATATCATTGGGTCCCAGGTGGAATAAAATGAGTTGGTTGACCTTATTTTTTTCTAATTTTAAGAACAGCATCAGATCTTTGAGGCTAAGGGAGGATTGATAGATTTCCAATCCAATAAAATCCTTCTGCGGGCTAACAGGGAGGCAAAGGCAATGGCATTCAGCTGTCCATTGGTCAGAGAAGGATTGTTGTTTGGTACTCCAAAAACAGCAATTTCTGCACTAGGCTGTACATTTGTATTAAATGCTTCAGAAAGTGTTTTAAATATAGTGGACCAATAATCTGCCAGACAGGGACAGGCCCAGAACATGTGGGTCAAGTCTGCCAAGGAGCCTTTACACCTGTCACATGTACCATCAATATTTGGGTAGAACTTTGACAATCTGGCCTTACTTAAATGGATATGTTGAAGGCTGAGCCGGGCACAAGAGAAGCTTCCATTTACCCTAAGTAAGGTGCCATTCCAGACTTCATAAGAGATCTCTCCACCAAGTTCCCTTTCCCACTCAGATCGGATTTTATTGAGTGACGGGTTATCAAGGGACATGATTATCAAAAAAATATGGGATATGAGTCCCTTTAGTTGACAATATGTTTTCAAAAGGGCATCCAGACCCGATCCGGGTGATAGAATTGGAAAGGCTGGGCTTTGAGTGTGAATAAACTGGTGGAATTGGAAATACCTAAAAAACTTCAATGGGGTAGATTAAATTTGATAGCGAGGTCTTCGGAATTGGCTAAGGTTCCATCAATATAAAGGTTACACTTAGTAAGGCCATTCCTCTGCCACAGCCTGAAAGCTGAATCCAGTTTGCCTGGAAGGAAGAGGTGAATATTACATATAGGACCTTGAATAGAGAAATCATAGAGTTTAAAATGTTGATGGAATTGAGTCCAAATTTTAAGAGTATTGACAACAATTGGATTGGATGTGTAGCGCGAAGCTGAAAGAGGGAGATTGGAGGTGACTAAAGCTGACAAAGAGGAGGAGAAACAGGAGTTGGCTTCTGTTTGACACCAGTCAGTTTCTGGGGTGTGAAGCCAGTAAACAATATTTTGTATATTTGCTGCCCAGTAATAATACATAAAGTTAGGAAGGGCTAGTCCTCCGTGTGTTCTGTCTCTCTGGAGGAATACTTTATGTATTATTGGATTCCCACCGCCCCATAAAAAACAAGATAAGCTTAATTTTACATTTTAGTCATTTAGCAGACGCTCTTATCCAGAGCGACTTACAGTTAGCGCATACATTATTTTATGTTTTTCATACTGGCCCCCCGTGGGAATCGAACCCACAAACCTGGCGTTGCAAACACCATGCTCTACTGAGCTACATCCCTGCCGGCCATTCCCTCCCCTACCCTGGACGACGCTGGGCCAATTGTGTGACGCCCCATGGGTCTCCCGGTCGCGGCCGGCTACGACAGAGCCTGGATTCGAACCAGGATCTCTAGTAGCACAGCTAGCACTGCGATGCAGTGCCTTAGACCACTGCGCCACTCGGGAGTCCACTGCAGTGAAAAAGACTTTGGAACAAATACAGAAATCTAGACAAGACATTCATCTTGATACAATTCACTTTACCAGGGCCTCCTGTAGCTCAGTTGGTAGAGCATGGCGCTTGCAACGCCAGGGTTGTGGGTTTGATTCCCACAGGGGGGCCAGTATGAAAAATGTATGCACTCACTAACTGTAAGTCGCTCTGGATAAGAGTGTCTAGCTAAATAACTAAAATGTAAAGTAAAATGGAGAATACTCCATCTCTGAAAGTCCACTGTAAGTTTACTAATCAGAGGAGTAAAGTTCTCATCATGGAGGGAAGACAAGGTACGGGTGATATTGATCCATACATTTTGAAAGCCAGAATAGTATCCTGTGGAATTTGTAATGCTAAGTAATTAATAGGAAAACATTCACTTTTTGAGAACCCGAAAACACACCAAACCTACGCAGTAGGTCCACTACCTCAGGGACACACACTTCAGGGTCTGAGCTATATAAAAGCAAATAATCTGCATAGAAGGAAACTTTGTGTTCCAGTCCCCATCTGTAGATACCATGTATTGAGGGTCTGTCCTTTAGCATAATAGAAAGGGGTTCTATCGACCAGGGCAAATAACAGAGGGGACATTGGACATCCCCGGCGTGTGGCCCTTGATAATGGGAAATACTTTGAACGAAGTCTGTTTGTAAGTCAGAAGATGCAGGAGAGTGTATGACATTAAGCAGACGTTGAATGTTAGAAAAGTAGTGGCAACCCTTAATGAACCCGGTCTGATCAGTCGATATGATGTTTGTCATAGTGGACTCTATTCGAGAGGCAAGCAATTTCGCTAATATTTTAACATCTGCATTTAAAAGTGAGATCGGTCTGTATGAGCCACACTCAGATGCATCTTTGGCGGGTTTTAACAAAAGTGTGATCGAAGTGTGTCAGGGTTTGTGGTAAAACACCCTGGTCCAGGGTTCGTTTCAAGCAGGAGTGGGGCCAGTTTGGCAGAAAACTCCTTGTAGAATTCGATTGGGTAGCCATCTGGGCCAGGGGATTTCCCACTTTGCATTTCTGTATTTGAATTAATAATCTCTACTAACTGGAAAGTTTGATCAATTTCCTCTCTCTTCTCTTTACTAATGGTAGGAGTTTCCAAGTTGTCAAGAAAATCATTCATAATTGAATTGTCTTCAGGTGATTCTGACGTGTAAAGATCTGAATAAATTATTTGGAAAGTATTATTGATTTCAGTGGGACTAACTGTTAAGACCCTAGGTGTTGTGAATTTGGGGGATCAGCTGTGAGGCAGATTTGCACTTGAGTTGATGAGCTAGAAGTCGACCAGCCTTTTCTCCATGTTCGTAAACAAAACCGCATGCACAGAGTAGCTGCTGCTCAGACTTATCTGTAGATAGTAAATTGTATTGAGATTGAAGACAGCCTTTCTTTGTAAAGTTCTGGTGATGGAGAGGCAGAGTATGGTTGGTCTAATTCCAGAATTGCGTCGATCAGCTGTTGTTGTTTGATTTTCCGTTGTTTATTGAGAAGAGAGGAATAGGAAATTATTTCGATTATGTTTTATTTGTCTCAATGAAGACATCAATTGCAATCGATAGAACGGTGCAGAATGAATTGTTTGAAAGTAAAGATGAGTTAAGTCTCCATGGGGGGCGATCTGTATAGTTCAATGAGAATGAGAGGTCGAGCGACAGAGAAGAATGGTCACTAATAACAATGGCAGAGTATTCTACTTTCTTAACAGAGGGTAGAAGGGCTTTATCTATGAAAAAGTAGTCTATTCTAGAATAGACTATAGCTAGCTAATTAGGCAAATGCTAGGTTTTGTTGAAGACTCATTTACAACCTTCAACAACGGGGATGCCGAGAACAAGGTCAAATGACACCTGACTAAATGTTAGCTAGCTAGCTAACGTGAGCTACAGTGGTTAGTTACGATAGCTAGTTAGCTAACTAACATTCACAATCGCTTCCCCTTACTCTGACATAGCTTGCATTAGCTAGTCAGCCACAATCCAGCTTTTGGCTGTCAGATATTTAGCTCGGCCTACTAGATCATCATCATTTTATATAATGGCTACTTCAGTTCAGCTTACTTGCCATGATTTCTGACCAACACACCACAAATTCTCCTCAGACCACAGCTCCATCTCTCTCCTATCTCCATTCAATCTCCTCGTTCTTGCCTGCTCCTTCTGGTCTCTCGGTCTCCATTGAGGCTCAAAGCTGATCGCCACTCGCAGAGGTATAGGCAGACAATCAAGATGGCGCCGGAGGAGATGGCTGCCGTATTACGGGCTCCTGACCAATTGTGCTATTTTTAGTGTTTTTTTCGCATTGTTTGTAACTTATTTTTTACATAATGTTTCTGCCACCGTAACTTATGACTGAAAAGAGCTTCTGGATATCAGAACAGTGATTACTCCCCTTGAACTGAACAAAGATTATTTCTTTAAACGAGTCGGACGCAAAGGATTTACTGCTGATACCGGAGCAGGTCCAAATCCCCGTAATTCACATGAAGAATACACACCGATACAGGGGACGCAGGTCTGGGTGCCTTGTGAGAATTCGTCGGCGAGTCGGCTCTACCATCCGTCCTATTGGCCAACATGCAATCATTGGAGAATAAGTTTGATGTGCTCCGTTCAAGTCTATCCTACCAACGGGATATTAAAAACTGTAATATCTTATGTTGTTTCAACGAGTCGTGGCTGAATGACGACATGGATAGTAAACAGTTGGCTGGGTTTTCCGTGCATCGGCAAGACGGAACAGCTGCCTCCGTTAAGGTCTGTGTCTATTAGTCAATAACACAAAAATCTAATATTAACGAAGTCTCAAGGTTTTGGTCGCCTGAGGTAGAGTATCTCATGATAAACTGTAGACCACACTATTTACCAAGAGAGTCTTCATCTATATATTTCGTAGCTATCTATTTACCACCACAGACTGATGCTGACACTAAGACCGCACTCAACAAGCTGTATAAGGCCATAAGCAAACAAGAACATGCTCATCCAGATGCGGCACTCCTAGCGGCCGGGGACTTTAATGCAGGGAAACTGAAATATTTTTTACCTAATTTCTACCAGCATGTCAAATGTGCAACCAAAAAAAAAAAAAAAAACTCTAGACCACCTTTACTCCACACACAGAGACGTGTACAAAGCTCTCTCTCGCCCTCCATTTGGCAAATCTGAACATAATTATATCCTCCTGATTCCTGCTTACAAGCAGAAACTATAGCGGAAGTGCCAGTGACAATACAGAAGTGGTCAGATGACACAGATGCTAAGCTACAGGACTGTTTTGCTAGCACAGACTGGATTATGTTTCGGGATTCATCCGATGGCATTGAGGAGTGTACCACATCAGTCACCGGCTTCATCAATAAGTGCTTCGATGACATCGTTCCCACAGTGACCGTACGTACAACATCATCATCCCAGAAACCCTAGACCCACTCCAATTCACATACCGCCCCAACAGATCCACAGATGATGCAATCTCTATTGCACTCCACACTAGCCTTTCCCATCTGGACGAAAGGAACACCTACGTGATAATGTTGTTCATTGACTACAGCTCAGCGTTCAACACCATAGTGCCCTCATAGCTCTTCACTAAGCTAAGGACCCTGGGACTAAACAACTCCCTCTGCAACTGAATCTTGGACTTCCTGACGGGCTGCCCCCAGGTGGTAAGAGTAGGCAACAACACATCTGCCACACTGATCCTCAACACAGTGACCCCTCAGGGGTGTGTGCTTAGCCCCTCCTGTACTCCCTGTTCACCCATGACTGCGTGACCAAGCACGACTCCAACACTATCATTAAGTTTGCCAATGACACAACGGTGGTAGGCCTGATCACCGACACTGATGAGACAGCCTATAAGTAGGAGGTCAGAGACGTGGCAGTGTGGTGCCAGGACAACAACCTCTCCCTCAACATGATCAAGACAAATGTGATGATCGTGGACTACAGGAAAAGGAGGGCCAAGCACGCCCTCATTCTCTTCGACGGGGCTGTAGTGGAGCAGGTTGAGAGCTGTCCACATCACCAACGAACTATCATGGGTCAAACACACCAAGGCAGTTGTGAAGAGGGCACAACAACGCATATTCACCCTCAGGAGACTGAAAATATTTGGCATGGGTCCTCAGATCCTCAAACAGTTCTACAGCTGCACCATCGAGATCATCCTGACTGGTTGTATCACCGCCTGGTAATGCAACTGCTCGGCCTCCGACCGCATGGCGCTACAGAGGGTAGTGGGACGGCCCAGACCTCTATACCAGGTGTCTATACCCAAGCCATAACACTGCTGAACAGCTAATCAAATGGATACCCGGACTATTTGCATTGACCCACCCACTTGTTTACGCTGCTGCTACTTGCAGTCACTTTACCCCTACCTAAACTCATCAAAAAAAGAAACGTCCCTTTTTCAGGACCCTCTTTCAAACATAATTAGTAAAAAATCTAAATAACTTCACAGATCTTCATTGTAAAGGGCTTAAACACTGTTTCCCATGCTTGTTCAATGAACCATAAACAATGAATGAACATGCACCTGTGGAACGGTCGTTAAGATACTAACAGCTTACAAACGGTAGGCAATTAAGGTCACAGTTATGAAAAATTAGGACACTAAATAGGCCTTTCTACTGACTCTGAAAAACACCAAAAGAAAGATGCACAGGGTCCCTGCTCATCTGCGTGAACGTGCCTTAGGCATACTGCAAGGAGGCATGAGGACTGCAGATGTGGGCAGGGCAATAAATTGCAATGTCCGTACTGTGAGAAACCTAAGACAACGCTACAGGGAGACAGGACGGACAGCTGATCGTCCTCGCATTGGCAGACCACGGGTAAAAAGACCTGCACAGGATCGGTACATCCGAACATCACACCTGCGGGACAGGTACAGGATGGTAACAACAACTGCCTGAGTTACACCAGGAATGCACAATCCCTCCATCTGTGCTCAGACTGTCCGCAATAGTCTGAGAGAGGCTGTTCTGGGGGCTTGTAGGCCTGTTTTAAGGCAGGTCCTCACCAGACATCACCAGCAACAACGTCGCCTACGGGCACAAACCCACCGTCGCTGGACCAGACAGGACTGGCAAAAAGTGCCCTTCACTGACGAGTCACGGTTTTGTCTCACCAGGGGTGATGGTCAGATTTGCGTTTATGGTCGAAGGAATGAGCGTTACACCGAGGCCTGTACTCTAGAGCGGGATCAATTTGGAGGTGGAGGGTCCGTCATGGTCTGGGGCGGTGTGTTACAGCATCATCATCGGACTGAGCTTGTTGTCATTGCAGGCAATCTCAACGCGGTGTGTTACAGGGAAGACATCCTCCTCCCTCATGTGGTACCCTTCCTGCAGGCTCATCCTGACATGACTCTCCAGCATGACAATGCCACCAGCCATACTGCTCGTTCTGTGCGTGATTTCCTGCAATACAGAAATGTCAGTGTTCTGCCATGGCCAGCGAAGAGCCCGGATCTCAATCCCATTGAGCACGTCTGGGACCTGTTGGATCTGAGGGTGAGGGCTAGGGTCACAAGTGGTACCGGAGCGCCAAGTCTAGGTCCAAGAGGCTTCTAAACAACTTCTTCCCCCAAGCCATAAGAGTCCTGAACATCTAATCAAATGGCTACCCAGACTATTGCATTGCCCCCCCACCCATATTTTACGCTGCTCCTACTCTCTGTTGATTATCTATGCATAGTCACTTTAATAACTCTACCTACATGTACATATTACCCCAATTACCTCGACTAACCTTGACTCGGTACCGGTACCCCCTGTAGATAGCCTCGCTATTATTATTTTTACTGCTGCTCTTAATTATTTGTTACTTTTATTTCGTATTATTTTATAGTGTATTTTTTTGTGATTTATTTTGGTATTCTTTCTTAAAACTGCATTGTAGGTTAAGGGGTTGTAAGTAAGCATTTCACTGTAAGGTCTACACCTGTTGTATTCGGCGCATTTGACAAATAACATTTTATTTTATTTTATTTATTTGAAGAGTGGAGTAACATCTCACAGCAAGAACTGGCAAATCTGGTGCAGTCCATGAGGAGGAGATGCACTGCAGTACTTAATGCAGCTGGTAGCCACACCAGATACTGACTGTTACTTTTGATTTTGACCCCCCTCTTTGTTCAGGGACACATTATTCAATTTATGTTAGTCAGTTTATGTATCAGTTGTTGAATCTTGTTATGTTCATACAAATATCTGCACATGTTAATTAAGTTTGCTGAAAATAAAACACAGTTGACAGTGAGAGGACGTTTCTTTTTTTGCTGAGTTTACATGTACGTATTACCTCAATTACCTTAACTAACCTGTACGCCCGAACATTGACTCGGTACCAGTACCCCCTGTATATAGCATTGTTATTATTACTCTTTTATTTTTTTACTTCAGTTTATTTAGTAAATATTTTCTTAACTCTTATTTTTCTTAAAACTGCATTGTTGGTTAAAGGCTTGTAAGTAAGCATTTCACCTGTTGTATTCGATGCATGTGACAAATAAAATTGGATTTGATAAATGTGGCTCAGAATTGCAACAGTTTTCACCCGACTCTACGTCAAGCCCGATCAATATTCCATTTCATATTTTTATGGTGCACGTGCAGTCCAGCAGTATATACTCGATTATATCTCCAATTTGCAATGTCGGATATAAAAAAAAGTTAAATTTCAGATTTTAATATATATGCAGTGTTTTAATGTAAAACATGGCCTTTAAAACACAGCTTGAGTGGATTAAAAAAAACATGAATAACTATTACTGCAAAATGAAAAAGAATGGTTCACAATGAAAGCCATTTCTGTGGTAAAACTGCCTTGGGAAATGCACAAATCATTGCACAAAAGAAATGCACTTCAAATACCTTTATGTTCTGAATTTTGCATTATATACCAGATCATCATGAGATCTTTGGAATCCATTATCATTTGTGGCAGATTCCCTCTTTTGATTATGTAGCAGTATGCAATTTGACATTTATGGTAGCATTCAACATGCTTTATGGATGTGTACTTCCAGTATCCCTTCAATTTGTTCTTCTACTTAATCATGAGTATTAATCATTCTTGTCCTTCCCTCAGGGCAGATGATTGTTTCTGTGCCACCCGAAAGCTCGAAGCGGCGTCCACAGAGGCTAAGTTTCTGCAGGACCTGGGTTTCCGCATGCTCAACTGTGGCCGGTCAGACCTTCTGAAACAGGCGGTCAACCTACTGGGGCCTGATGGTATCAACAGCATGAGCGAGCAGGTCTGAGAGATACACACGTACACATACTAGACACACAAGCTCGACATGCACTTACACATGTACAGTAAAAACCTATATACCTGACCAGAGTTCTCTATGTGAGCTTAAGTAAAATGTTATGCTTTTTTACAGACTCAGGGCTTCAAAATGGTATATCATACACTGTAGTTGGAGGAAACATGGGAATGTTATGCTGCTTTGAAAGTTTATACTGTACATCTACAACATGCTGCAAGTGGGTGTATGGAAACCTAACAGCTAATTGGGCACATTTTGCATGGCTGCTTCCTTGTAAAGTACATTGGGCCAGTAACTGAAAGGTCACTGGTTTGAATCACTGAGCAGACTAGTTGAAAAATCTGTCAATATGCCCTTTAGCAAGGCACTAAACCCTAATTGCCCCTGTAAGTCGCTCTGTATACTATACGAGTGTCTGCTAAACTTATCTCTGTCACTAACAAATACAGTCATGGCTGGTATCGCTACAATTTACTCGAGGCAAAGCACTCTGGGAAATATTTGAGTAACGCTTTACACTAAAATGTAACACTGTTCCGCTGTCTATATGGGTCCACAGGCTCCACACTTTCAGTTTCAGTGTTTTTTACACTGGATAAGTTGCTGTGCGTACAAAATAGAATTGGTTAATTGGTTTGACTTGATTAGGTACACCTGGGACAATGGTCATTCAGGAGAATGGACATTGACAGAATGTTCAGATAGAAATGTATTGTGTAGATCGACTTTGTCAGATAGATTGGAATAGTATAGGAGATTGTGTGTTCTATTCATTCTACATATATCTGAAACATGCAGTTCCAGATACAGCCCTGCCATTAGTTGAAGGCAGCCAATCCAAAAGTTTCAGAAAAGTAGTCACTTACTGAGATCTGTATCCAAACAGTTTTGAAAAGTAGTAATTTTAGGGGATATGTGTTCAAATAGTTGTTCCAAAAAGAAATGTTACTTTCCAAAAAGCATAGTTAAAACTATTGTTATCCCAGTTCTGGTGCATCCAATTGTAAGGTATTCTGAAATGTGTCCGGCGCATTACGTTCCCCAGCATGATACCACTCAAACAGAAGAGAGAACTAACAAAGAGTCACTGACCAACAACCAAAAGGTGGGCTTTTAACAGGTGTTCTGAAAGACAATCATGGGGGTGTCCACTGAAATTTGACTAGCAACAACAACTGGATCCTAAAAGACACCCTCCATGAGCAGCCACTAAATTTGCCCAAAAGACAAACAAAAGAAAAACCTACACCAACAGATTTGTTCCTGCTTTAAAGGTGTCGCCCATGCAACAATCTCTCTCTCAGCAAACTCAAAGGACCTCTGACATGATCTCCAAACACAAGTTCACTCTGACTAAAACCGAGAGATTCCTGAACAACCGCCCGCGCTTCAAACAGCACAAGAGGGACCCCTTCATCCCAGTTTTTCTCGAACTCAAAGCAGTAAGCTCTCAACATAGACTTCAAAGACTGATTAAATTTCTCAAGAGTACCTTGAGACTCTAGGTGGTAGGCACTAGAGGGGCAATGTGTAACACACAATTGCTGTAGCACTTGCTGGAAGACCTTTGACAAGTAATTTTAACCATGGTCCGACTGCACAAGTCCAAACGTTGAAGATCATTTCACCTGGGCCTACTGGGAGCAAAGTGCAACCGCAGAGCTTGGTTCGGTTTACCCATCCGCTGGCAAACGCGACAGGATTTACAGTAAGCCACAACATCCTGTTTCAGACCAGGTCAGAAGAAGTTACACAAAATATGGTCATCAGTCTTGTTAACCCCAAGATGGCCTGCCATACTACCATCGTGAGCCAACCTCAGTATCTCTTGTCGAAGCATAACTACAACGACTGTGCTGCCATCCTGTTAGAAGGTAACAGATTATTTTATTATAGTGGTTAAGAGTGACTTTCATTGTGTTCCATGGTGTTTATTGCCCCCTAGTGGAGCTTTCTGGTACTTAGAATAATGTACAAAAACCGGAAGTAAAGCAGTCATTCTGCACACAGACAAGCAGCTAGAAACAACGCTACTGTACAGTTCTTTCTGTGCAACTATTTCTTGTTACGCTTCAGCCTTGGAAAATATTTGTTTGTAAGTTCAATTCAAGCATATTGCTAGTGATGATAATATTGTTAATGATATAATTGTTTACTTATCAATGTTAGTTGGTTACATTTACTCACGCAAATTGCATTGACTTTCATGGATGCCGTCAGCTGTATTAGTTTGCTCGTGCGTCATGTAAAAGAGTAAAACATACTATAGTTTGTTACTGTTTCTAGTGTAATATGCTTTGTTATTGTATAGAGGTGTTTGCACATTATTAGAGTAATGAAAGGAGTTGGCTAGTTGTTACTCATAGAGTAATTATCTATTTGGTTTGTCGTCATGTCAGATACATGGTAACTTGGCACTTGCTTTGTATTTATGCAAATTCAACTTGAAATGTAAAATGTACAGCTACAGTATGTCAATATGAATTGAATACTAAAGTATATTATTTTCTGTATTTGCAGTTTCACAACATAAACATTTTCAATACATTCGTTCAAGAAAATTCACGCCTTGGATGTTTTATAGTTGTTAGCTATCTGTCTAGTTTAGCATGGGAACGCAATTCCAGGGCAGAATAACAACAATTTGAGATACACCGGGCCAAATCGTCTTGCCCAGAAGTGGCACGAGAACGCCATTTCCTCATTAGAACACCATCTCTGTCAAAGTAGCCCACACAAACTTCATCAAACTCCTCCTCTAGACGTATCGCAGCAAAAATAGGGGAGAGGGAAACATGTTTACTCTGTTCAGCAATCAGCTGCTTCCTAGCCATTGAAGTGTCAACTGTAGGAAACCTCTCTTCCTTCAGCAGTCCTACAAACTCGCTCACCTTTGGCGTTTTCAAAGGCGAGGTCAAAACAGAAGGTTAAGCGAAATCAGGATCACCCATAAACGTGTCAGACAGATTGACCATGGTGGGATCGCTGACATCCTCCTCAACACTAGACTTGCTCCCGGCAACTTTCTTAGACATAGCACATGCTGGGAACACTAGGGTACTTTTCTGATAACCCATCAGGTTCCTCTACTCTGGGTTCCTTACAAACGACAGGATTTGGCACGACCTTCCCTCCAGCCAAATAATTTCCCAAATGAATGAGACCCCCTTCCCCGGTAGGCTAGGCCTCACTCCAATGACAACGGAACCAGAAATAAGATCAGACTCGAGTTCCACATTATATAAAGGAACTTCCATGCAAACCATCTCCACGCCTTAACCAGTTGCTGAAGTGTCAGACAAAGGCAAAATACCCTCCAAAATGAAGGATTGGGCTGCCACAATGTCTCGCAGTATCTTCAAACGGATGCTTAACAGCATCACCACTCTGCAGAGACACGTACCCATCTGAAACAACGGGTTCATACACATCTGATCCAAAATCCTGTTTAGGAGATACATCAGTCCCAACCAGAGACTTAATTGGCTGGAGTGCTCCCACAAGAAGAAACTACATCTCTCTCTCATTTTTCTGTTTCAACTTAGGATACAAAGACAGTGTCCTTTCTCAAGGCAGTAATGAGAAACTGGCAGATACGAAAAACAAGTTTTCTGCCGATCTTTGGGCACTGTAGAAAAGGACTGAAACCTTGCAGTAGGAGGTGACTTCTCTGGATTGCTATTTGTATATGGATAATTACTTGGTGCTTTGTTTGTGAAGGTAGTTTTATGTGTCAACACAAACTCATCTGCAAGATCTGCAGCTTTCTCGAGTGAGATCCTTGTGCTCATAAATGTCGGTAGCAACCCTTTCGCGAAGGATATTCTTCAACTGCTCGAGAAGTATGAGAGTCTTTATATCCTCAAGGTTCTTCACCTATTGCAAACCACACCACCGATCAAAAAGACATGGCTTTATGTTTCTGTCTTTCGTAACTTACGGAACGGTTGTCTCCATGCCTCTGGGACCGTAAGCCCGAAGGATAGCAACTTTAACAGTGTCATAATCTGAACTCTGGTCAAGAGATAAAGCAGCGTACAATTTGAGCCTTTCCCAAAATATCACTTTGGCGGTGGAGTGACCAAATATTTTGTGTTCATTTTAGGGATGTGGCAATCCGCTCAAACAGAGTAAAATATACATCCACCTCCATTCCGTTGAAAGGCGGTACAAGTCGGTTGTTCCGACCAAGATTAAACTTTGTTGAGGGTGCAGGATGGCCTGACTGGATTCGGAGCGCTTCCAGATCTATCTCCCTTTGTTGCGCCATCTCTTTTAAGCAAATGGCATGCGCACATTCTTCTTGTTCTTGTCTGGCTGCACGTTCATTCTCTTTCTTGTGCTCAAGCTCTAATTTATGTTGTTCCAACCTCTCCTCACGTTCTCTTTCCTTTTCCTTGTGCTTGAGCTCTAATTTCTAACTCTCACAGTAGCACGTCTACAGGACTCACCCTACTACCCATAGGACCCGTTTCATCATCCTCCCTCTCTGGAAGGATTTCCTCCTCCACCAAAGCAGTACCGATCAAATCTGACTACTGCTTTTGGATCGCCACCTTGATGTCATAATGCTTTGCAATGACGAGCAGATGCGCCTTTGTACATTTATCTAGCATCTCCCATGTAGGGTTTTCCACAAATGCTTCCAACTTAAATTCCATGGCTTTTTTATTTATTTATTTATAAGACTGTGTTTATGCAACTTTCAAAATGATTCCACCAATCTTATAACCCCTCAAGGTGGATGTCAGTGACAGAACCTCTACCACAAAAGTGTATTTTGAACATTCAAATATATGGGCACAGCAGAGCTTGAGTTAGTGATTAGAGCGACTACCATACTCTTGGGAAACAAGATCCCAGACGAGCCCTAATTTTGTTACATTCCCCAGCAAGAAAACAAAAACTGTCGCTCAAACAGAAGAGAGAACTAACAAAGTCACTGACCAACAACTAAAACAAAACAGGTGGGGTTTTAGGAGGGGTTC